CGAACATTGTTTCGTTCTGCTGTGCATGGAGTCGCTATGAGTCGGTTCCGACTCGATGGCACCTGACAACAACAACAACATTGTGTGTATGTACCAAAGTTTGTTCAGCCATTCTTCTTTTGATGGGTACTTCGCATGTCTCTTTTTGATATGTCTCTTGTAGGTAGCATTTTGAAGGATCTTGTTTTTTCATCTATTCTGCTCTCATGTCTGTATTTTCCTTCCCTCATTCTGTAGTTAACCACACTCTTGAAAACATGTACCAGTCACTTCACGCCTTTGTAGCCCCTCACAATAGCCAATGTCTAACTTCCTCATTCCTATCAAATCAGTACACTGAGGAAACAAGTTTGTTCCTGGGTATGAAGTTAACTTCGCTTTTAACCCTCTTCAGGGATGGGCTCAGCTGAAGAAAGACAATTTGCCCTAGCCATGCCTCCATTCATAGGCAGCCTACATCACATGATGGAGTCCTCCAGCCTCTCTTTCTACTTTCCTTTTCCTTTTTCAGGTATTGATTTCAAAAGCATCACTTGACAAAACTCCTGCATACCAATCTCCTTCTCAGAGTTTTCTTCCTAGGGAACTCAATTTACAAGCGTTCCCATTACTATTCTCATCAACAGATGGCACCTTCTCAGCCCTCAGTCCCAACCCCCCGACTGCCCACAGGACTGAGTGAATTGTCAGCTCTTCTGCAAAACCTTTTCTGCCATTCCAGTTCACATGGTTTGCCTTCACCCTAAAGTCTTAGTGTCTTTATTGTAATAATACTGATTATGATGATGATAAGGGAAAAGAGGAAGTAGCTGCACTTATCAGCATGGCATAATTTTATGGGAATTTGGTCCATAATTACTAACATTGTACTTCTGTCTTTCAAAAATGTGTGTATGATTAGCACATAAGCATTTAAGATATAGAAGAGCAGGGAGTATAACATATTTTTACTTTTTATTTTTCCAGAGTAAATAATATTATCTATCTTCACAGTGTGAAAAGTACTTGTTGATTAATAGGTGGAACTCAAAAATTGTTGGTTATTCAGCTTCACAGATAAAACATCCTACAATCACCAGGTTTCTCTACATGTGGAACAGTGGTCTCTGAACTCTTATAAAGAAGATAAAGTCTCCATGCTTGGTTGACTACTCAATCTTGTTGCTTTATTTCTTTATTCTTAATCCTTCTTTCTCCCATCACCAGTCTTTACTCCCCAGATTTCTAAAATTGTATAAGCTCCAATTATTTATGCTAAAACCCTTCCTACTTGGACTTCTTATGACTTCTGCTTTTCTATAATGTTTTTCCTGTTTACAGAAAAAAAGAAAAAAACAGTTTCCACTGTAGTCACTTTAGTCATCATTATTATGGTATAGAAAGTTTACCACACCAATGTCTTCTTCATGTCAATTTCATTTGTCTGTTACATTTCTTATAACTGCAGGAGAAACAAAATTGAATCCATAGCTCAACAGACCATTTTCAGATCTTTTATTTTATAAAATTTATTAAAGAATATTACAAAGGAGGATACAGAAGCTTAGTCACACATACCATGCCACCTCCCAACAGCAAAGAATCAAGAAACCAATGAAACAAATACAGATGACAACTGGGGTCCAAAACCAACAAAAAGATGATGAAGAATTAGATAGAATATCAAAGTGAAGGATAAACTGAATGAAAACAATGAAAGAGGAGACTTACAGACAACATAGGCATCTTATGAGAAAGCAAGTAATGTTCTGGTTGAGAAACCCAAGAAGGTAATGTCACAGAATTCCCTATAGGGGACAGAGATACTGTGCAGATAAGCCTGGAGCAAAACACAGTGAGCAGAACTTAACTGGATCTAAAAAGGAAACATGCAGAAAGGCAGGCAAGAACCCTAGGGAACCAGAGAGAGAGTTCGAAAATAGGTACAGAACTGCTCACCAGCTGTGATCCTGATCAGTTGGATGATTTCTTTGAAGTGGCAGCTAGAGATGCCTCATCCAAAAAAGACTCTGGACAGCCCTTGCTTTTCTCTCTTTTTGTTGGGGCAATGTCCAGATCATAGGCTGCACTCTACAGGGAGTAACCCTGTATCCACACCAGTGACTGGAAGAATATACTCTCTATTCCTGCTCCCCTTGCCTTTCAAGTGACCTACTATCTGACTACTATCAAACTGCCATCAGACTGACCACCAGAGGCTTGCAACTGTCTAAACCACAGTAATCAGAGGCATTAAATCTGTCTCCCCTACTCCTGTCACCCTGTCTGCCTGGTGGCCAGTCATGAGTTCCTGTGCCACCTGTTCAGTGACCAGTGACATGTGGACACTCACCTTAACCAATGAGAATGCTCCCTGCATCCACACCCAGTAACAAGCTGGACTGAAACAATGCTTCATTAGCAATATCAATTATATCATAACAGATGCCAAATGAAAATCAGATTTTCACATCATACACATCTCACATCTAAGTAGTTCCTGCAGGATATTGGTACTTAAACTGAAGCCATTTGATATCCCACCATGTACTTAAACACACATTTGTGCATGTACACTGGGCCTACACTGCCCATTTAGGTATTACTCCTTCATAGTGGATATCGATACATTTTTTCCTGACCTTGAGAGAAAGCACTAACAGCAACACCAACATGGAAGGATCTCACTAATGTTGTGGAGAGATGCTGAAAAGCCAATGCTTGTCATCCATACCTCTACTCAACCCAGTAGGAAAATACATGAGCTTAACCACAGAGGATTCAAACATGAGTGTAACCCACCATACTCACTAGTGAGAGGAAGTCACACTCAATCAAAAGATACCACCAAGTAATACACAGACCAGAAACACGAAGCACCTATTAATACCAGAGAAGAAAGAGATTATAAAGAGTAAGAGAAGAAACAAAGTTACAGACACATCAAATCTTTCCTTGAAATGATCTGTAGGTTATGGTGCGATGTGTTCAAGGTCATATTTTGGCTCTCGAGGACTTATTTTAAATCTCTTCAGCTTCAACATGAATGATGTTCTTGGTGTCATCCCAAAAATCTTCTGGTCTTTAATGTTTAATGTATCAAACCTATTCTTCAAATGATCTCTAAATTCAGGTGGAATCTATTCAAGGTCATATTTTGGCTCTCATGGACTTGTTTTCATTTTCTTCAGCTTCATTTTGAATTTGCATATGAGCAATGGTTGGTCTGTTC